AGTAATCTTTGCCATTGAGATAGAATTATTCTAGAATTACAAAGCATGGAAAAACATGCAGTCACTCATATCCTCCTTAACATATCAATTAAAGTCATTTTTACATAATAGAATGGGTTTTCTTATAATTCACAGGAAAATTTTTGAACTGTAAAATAAGGAAGCACATGTGTCTGAGTTAAATGATTTTTCTGATATCAAAGTAATACATATCCATGAATAGAAAATTTAGAGAAAAAAACCCAGTGAAGTATTTTTAAAAAGAAAATAGTTACAAATAATACCACCATTTAGAGATTATCGCAATTAAATTAAGGTTTTTTTTTTTTTTAAAATAATTTATTTATTTATGAGAGAGAGAGAGAGTGAGAGAGCACAAGCAGGGGGAGAGGGAGATGCAGGCTCCCCACTCAGCATGGAGCCCGACACAGGGCTCATCCTGGACCCCAGGATCATGACCTGAGCTGAAGGCAGACGCTTAACCAACTCAGCCACCCAGGTGCCCTGGAAGGTATAGTTTCTTTGAAAATCAACACAATGGACCCTGTTCATAACCTTAAATGCTTTTGTTGCCCTTATCAGAATTCCTTTGATTTGGAATTTTGTGGGATGAACCATTCAAGGTACATGAAAGAAATAATTATGCCTCTTTCCCTCTATCCAGCTGCCCTTTATACATGGCCTGAAATTGCATTTTCCCCTGGCCCCTCAAAGCCACTTTATAATATGGGTTCATCTCTTTTTCGTTTTTCTTTGTTAACTCAGATCTTTACTAGACTTCTGGCATTCCAGGCTCTCCATTTATTACATTTCAGTATTTCTGTTCTTCCTTTTCCCCCCAGAGACAGGTGTCTTCATTCTCTTCATTCTCTTTCTATCTCTATCCCTCTCATTCTTTTTCATTGCCACTCTTAGTATACATTTCCAGCTTCTTTAGCCACAATGGAGCTGTCCTTAACAATTCCGAGCAGTATTTCTTAAGAGTGCAGGCAGGATTCCTGTAACAGGGTGGCAAAAACAGCCTGAGAAGAAAGATGGTCACCCAGCCTGTTAGCCTATTAGTTCTCTGTTAGAGAGCTGTGATCAATACGGCATGTGGCCATCCTAGTCACAGTCATTGAACTAAGCATTGTTTGTAGCATAGAATCTCTTTGACTAGTTGTTCTTATACAAGGAGACAAATCAACTATAAGCAGACTTCCTATTGGAAACAGACTTTTCTATAGGGATAACAGGGGTGACAGCAAAATTTCAGAATATAAACCAGCAATCTAGCTGTATGTAGTACCAGACCAGGGTCGTGTAGGCTCCCTGCTCATCCAGATTAACACTTTGGTCACTAGATCATGGGGAGGTCAGGAGGAGAGGGGGAGTCTGAGTAAGGAATAAGGGTGTCCAGGATGTCAGGGAGAACATAGGAAGTGCTTGGGACAGAGACGTTTTGCCACCTAGTATTGTAGCATTTCAATAACAGTGTGGTTGAATTTTGCATATCAGGTCAATGTCAGCCTTCCAGGTGATAAGTTTGTCCTCACTCATATTTTATCTTCTTATCCTCCTAAGACCAAACACACACATATATCAGACAGATATCCCCATTTTACAATGAGGAAATTGAGACTCAGATAGGGCAGGCCACGAGAACCAGTAGTGAAGCTGAGATGTAAAGCCAGGACTGACTGACTCCAAAGACAAAGCCATTAGGACTAAAATCGTTACACAACATTATTCATTGATGTTCTTTAATATCTCTAAGGGATTGTGCAGATATTATTCAGTTCCTGCAGCAACCTTATAAAGTAGTGTGACCTTACCATCAGTTCCCTTTGCAGGTTTGGGAAACCTCAGGTTTAGAGAAGTGACACTGAAAGAATGAAGAAGTTCGGAAGCTCATTAGGTTGTAGAATCTGGATTCACATACTGTCCAGCTTTCTGATTATAGAACCCCCGTCTGCTACCACGACATGCTACCCTAAAGTCCATAATTGTACATTTTCAAGAACACTGTCCCAACAATACCTGCTTATTTCTGCAAAGATGGCTGTGATAATACATGGCCAGTGGTCATGCATTTAGGGTTTTTCTTCCTGGCACTGGATTAGCACTCAGCCAATTACCTTCTTCTACCTGTTTCTCCTTAAAATAAATGACAAACATTTGATGGTCAATTAACTGGGATTAGAGGGCGGTCTGTGGCCATGCCATGGAACCACATTAATCTGAGTATGGGGAGTGATACTCTGACTTAGGCCCTGAAATCCATGTGTTTTATGTACCATTTATGTTAATTTAGAACTTCTTTTCTGGGAGTAGTGTTTTGACCTTGTATCAAATACTTTATTTAAATACAAATAAACCTTTTATGTTGCCTGTATCCAATATTCTAGACTAGGTACAAATGTCACTTTTTCCCAGAAGCCTTCCTCACCTGCTCCAGGCAGAACCAGTTAGACTCTTTTCTGTGCCTAACACAATTTATAACTGTAGTCTACTTAAATTGTGCCACAATTATGTGTTTATATTTCAGATTGACCCATAAGGACTATGATCTATTAATCTTTTTCTACCCATCAACTCAGATTATGTTTGGCACATCGTGTCAACAAAACAACTGTTGACTTAATTAACTAATTAATACTCCCACTAAAAAATAAAGTATATGTTCACTAGTTTGGAAAGGAATTCAGAGATATCATTTATAGGGCTGGATATGATAGTAATATTTAGTCTGTCTTGGAACTCTGTATTTGGACAATGAAAGTTTAAAAATTCTCATATGTTATATAACATTTATAAATCTGTTTTACTCCTTTGTAAATATACTATTTTGTATTTAATTGCAAAAAATTCCCTGGGGTAAAAATAGTATTCAACAACTTAATTAAAATTATACAGATATTTAAGATGGTGATATTGATGGGTGCTTGTTTGGCTCAGTCAGTTAAGCATCTGACTCTTGATTTTGGCTCAGATCATGAACTCAGGGTCATGAGATCAAGCCCTGTGTCGGGCTCCTGCTTGGTGGGGAGTCCACTTGAGATTCTTTCCCTCTCCCTCCCTCGCTGCCCCTCCCCTCCTCTCTCAAATAATAAATAAGTCTTAAAAAAAAATTAAATGGTGATGTTGATCTGTACATATTTACATGGCAAAATGTTTGTGATATATTATTGAATAAAGAGATTAGGAAATAGCAATTAAAGTACGATCTTATTTTTGTAAAAAAAATTCTACATAGTTATGGGAAAAAATCTAGAATAATAATATTTATATCCTTTCTTTATAATGAATGACTACAAAGCTCCAGGCATGGAATGAAGTGCCTTTACACATTATTTTAATCCCCACAGTAATTCCATTTAATCATTCATCATTAATTGATTCAGCATTCAGTGCATATTTCTTGTCCCAGGCACTGTGCTAAATATTAGATACAACTGTGAACAAGATGGACACAGTATCCAGTGTTTTATATATGATAAAACCTAACCCTACAGATGAAAATTAGAGAGGTTGTCCCACCCATCAGAGGTCCTCCGGGCCAGCTTCTGTTTCAACTAAGTAAACAAAGAGACTCGTGAGGCTCCCTAGGCTCCAGGTACCATCAGTCTATTCAGGTGGATACAGCACAGGAACTACAGTTGCCCAGGGCAGAGTTAGGTCTTCCTTCTGTGTGAGTTCTTGCTGCAGTTCTTGTGCAGTTCATACAGTCCTCCAGTGGCCATTGTCTTTGGTCCCTCAGATGATGCCTCAAGGAGGTGAGATCCACACTAGGTGGGTGCAGGAGCCCCAACCCCCCAAGTAACGGTTCCACACGTATAGTGTTCAGGGTTCTCATAAGAATCACTACCACCATCAGGTATTTTGTTCATTACAGTTTGCTCCAATGCGAAGGAAGTTTTCAATCACGAGTCATTTCAATCATATGCAATGCTACCTAGAAACACACTTAACGTTTTACTCCTATTAGATTATGAGGGAAACAGAACTAGAGAGTGTACCAAAGGATTCTCATATGGAAGGGGATAGGATTTTGTTAAGGAAGTATCCAACAAGCAAGTGGCAGAATGGATTTGAACTTAAATCTTTCTGACTCCAAAGTCTAGCTTCTACGCTTTCCTCCCAGAGATACCAAAAATGATCTTTGGGAGGAGAGGTTTCAGACAACTTTTACTTTCTTCTTCATACTTTCTGAATTCTCAGACATTTTTTTGTAATGAGCATGAACTTCTTTTGTAATCAGAAATAAATGTTTTTATTAAAAAGACTAACAACATGAAAACATGCTTTTGCTATAGCATTAAGTGAAAGTAGCAAGAAACAAATGATATATGCACTTGCATTGTGATTAGGATGATGTAAAAAGAGAGATGCATGAGTAAGAAGCTAAGCAAAAATATAAAGCAGTCCTAACAATAGTTGAGTCAGAATGGTTGGCTTGTGAAGGGCTTTATTTATTTATTTACTTACTTATTTATCTATTTATTTTTCTGTTTTCCAGATTTTCTATGAAATGCTTATGTTATTCTTGGAATAAAATGAAATGCATTTAGTAAAATAGAAAAGGAAATATATTTAGTTTATAAAATGTTTGAAATGTTTGAAATGTAAAAACCAGGCAAACATTATGCAAGGTCATAGACTGACTTCTGTGTTTTGTTTTTGTATAGGTGAATATATTTAAGTAAAATTTAATTATTTTAGGGGTTTAGACTTCTTAAATTATTTCTAAACACACCCATGGACATAAGATGGGAAGCTGAATTAGAGAGCAGTTCTGTTCCATTCCTGATAGTCACCCATATAACTTGAAGAATTTCCCCAGTGCTCTTGCTTGTGTCCCCTCCCTGACACCACTATTTCAGAGTGTTACTGTAACTTCCCTAGGTCTGGGTTCACGTGGCAGAGTGGGAATACTATTGCTAAGCTCCTTTCACATGTTATTTGTCTATAGTTATTTTAGGATATAACTATGTAAGGCTTACTTTTCTTTCAAAACTCACATTTTGGGCTTTATATGATCCTTCTTTAGCCAGGGACTCATATAACTGGATAGCTGCTGTTATGTTTTGCATGCCAAAATTTCCAAATAGCAAAGCATCAGCCATTTTCTCCATAGCTTTCAAGTTTCCCATGTCAGCTGCTTTGGCAAAGAACACGTAGGCTCTGTTTCAAAAATATGAAGGTAGAGGTTTGATTATCAAAAATGTTTTTCTGCTCCCTCCTTCACACTACTTCTCTCTAACAAGTAGAGCAAGTTGTCATTGCTACTAATGACAGTTTAGCTGAAGTCCATCACATCTATAGATCAGTAGGGTTTTTTCCAGCCCTACATTATCTAAGATTATAATTTCAGATATATCTGACAAATAGTGAAGCTGCTGAAAAGGAGAAATATATAGGATACATCATGCTTCAAGCTTATTCACCAAGTGAAAAATTGAGTCACTTGTCCTAAAATAGTGAACTCTCCCATGGCCACCCACATTATATGAGTATTTGTTTTACAAAATGAACTCTGAAATATATAACAATATAATCAAAAATAATCAAAACTGGAATGTCACATCTAGAAAGCTACTATCATGAAAACAACGGTCCCTTTGTATTCTGAAATAATTGTCTAAAACAGAACATATTCCTCAGCATGCAAAGTCAGACTGTGTCGAAAACCAATAACCAAATAAAACCCAAACCCTTAGGGCTCTAAAGTCTTGACTGCCTGGTTCAAAATCTGAGAGTTTTTGAGAGCTTCAGGCAAGTTATTTAACTTCTTTGTGCCTCTTTCATCTATGGAGTGGGGATACAATAGCACTTACTTCATAGGGTTGCTGGGAAGATTCAATGAGATAATCCATGTGAAGTGCTTGGCATAGTACCTGGTACATAGCAAGCACTCAATAAATTTAGCTATTATTATTATTATTAGGACTACTGTGTAAATTCTAAAGTTTTATAGCATGGTAATTGTTCTCCTGTAATTAGTGGGTAAACGGTGTGAAAATTTAGTGATTATAAATATAGATGCCATAGGATTGCCTTACATTGCATTTTCTGAGTCCCGCTCAGAAATCACCTGGACCTGATCTGTGTAACAAGTAGTGATGGAGAGTCTTGCAAGGTCAAAACCTGTGTCAGACAGAGAGTACTTTTGGGATTTATTTTTACTTTTTATAACTTCCTTTTTGGTAGCGTAACAGAAAGCATTAACCTCTACTGGTGACCTTGACTCAAATACAAGAACAAATACACAAATCTACCATTGCTACTCAGAAGGATCAGGAGACTCAGCTTTATGTACCACCTATCTATGCTGATGCTAAAATAATTTGCTCTTGGTGGCTGGAGCAGAATAGAATGGGCTCGGACTGAATGTTATTACCATGTAGGCTTTAGGGTCCTGGATGGCAACACAGGGAATAGACTCTAGCGGGACAAAAGAAGCCAGGTGGTCAAGCAAGAAATTAACCATGGTCAGAGCAAGCTAATATTCTAGGGACCAGAAGGCAAATAAGACAGAAGGTCTAAAGGTCAATGAATGCAAATATCTGGCATTCAGAGATAGGCTTGACAACCGGACACAGACTCCCTGAAGTCATTCTGCCACATGATTTGCTGCTGCAACCACATAGCCTGCTGGGATTAGAAGGACACCCACATGGACCAGGGCAGAGAAATCCGAGATGGGCTGCAGGATCCAGCAGTATATCCATTCACTGATCCCAGGGGGCAACAAAAGGTCACAAAACCAATCTGTCTAGGTGTTTTTAATTCTAAGGGAGGGATGGATACCTCGGTCCCCTGTCAAGAAAGTCCAAGGTGATATAAGGAATACTAGAAGCAGGACCCAGGGCTGAAGAAAGTTGTTGGTAAATTAGGTAGGATTAAGATCTGTGTTATAACCCCCAAGAGGGAAAAAGTAGGAGAAACTGGGCAACATTAGCAGATCCCCAAAAGAAAGTTCACTTAGATATCTGGATAACTTCTAAAGGACCTGGTACTGGATGCTAAGGTGGGTGCTGGGGAAGGAGGAGACTATTGGAATCTCTAGGACTCATCAGAAACTTGGTGTAGGGCAGCAGCTTATCTCCAAATCTTCTTTGCTGATGGGGAGTAATTCTTAATGACAGCTAACCCTGGTTGTCTCTGAGGCTTCTTGACTCCTGTAGACAAGTCTGTGTCTCCCTGACACATGCTTGCTTAACATCTGTACTTCTAACAGCACTGACTTGTTAAACAATTTATAGCTGAATGAGTGAATGAATGAATGGATGGATGAATGCATGAATTGGGTCAAGATGTCGATGTGGATGAGCCAAAAGGACTAGTAGCACCTCTGTCTTGTACAAGAAGTGGTGGAGCAAGGAGGACAGAGGATTGAGATGGGATTCTCTCCCATTGAATGGGAGAGAAATGATTCCTCTGTGGTCAGTAGGGTGTTCATTTTTCTTTCCCCTGGCCAGAATCTTTGAGATGGCTAGACTGGATGTAACTGGCTTAAGAGAAGAGCAGACCATCCTGGTATTTGGAGGAATTTCATTCAGCTTTCCCACAAATTCCTGAAATCTCTTGTTATGAGCAGATTTGGTTTCAGTTCTCTATTAACTCGGAAGGGTCAGGGGACTCAGCTTTATGCACCCTCTCATGTACCTCTGCTGCTGCAAAAATAAGCTGCTCTTGGGGCACCTGGCTGACTCAGTTGGTGGAGCATGTGACTCTTGATCTCGGGGTTGTGAGTTCAAGCCCCATGTTGGGTGTAGAGATTACTTAAAAATAAAATCTTTTTTTTTTTAAAAAGCTGTTTTTCTGGCACTCTTGGGAAAGGATAGGCTGGGCAAGAATAGCCTGAGATTGAATGATACCTAGGTGTCATGAAGGCTCCTTCACTGCTGGATAATCTGCTTTCAGGGCTGGGTTTTCTCCCCATTCTTTAAGCCAAAGAGGAAAGTACCCATCCAGGTTAAGTGGATAGTTACTTGGGAGCTTCCAAGAGTGATTTTGTCCCATTGGACTGAATCTAGGGTTTCCTTGAATTTAACAGGGCATACCCAGTGAGCCCCTCATCTTGCGTTCACCTGCTATTGATAGAGCTAATCTGAAACCTCAGGGACCAGCCCCTTTCCAGAATTCCATTGTTCTTTCATCTAGCTGGGCTGGGTTGAGAATTCTCTATTCTTACTCATCCACTCAGTGAGCTTCTGAGTGAGCAGACTTCCCTATCAGGCTGGATTATATTTTGGGGGTCTGATTTAACCCCATCCGCATCATGACAGCCCCCAGAGATGCTCAGCATGAGACCCAGGTTTTGCAGGGGATGGTTTCCTCTGCTCTTATAAGGAGCTTCTAATTTAACTTCCCCTAGAGAGATGACCGACTCCTTTACTTCCTTCTTCTTGTCACTTTGGAAGAATTATAGAATATTTTTGAACTTCCATTTCCTCCTCTCTAATTTGGGGATAACAATTTATGAGTCACAATATCCACTGTGAGCAATGAATGCTATTCCACACAAAAATGCCCAGAAAAATAAGTAGCACAAAGAAGGAGCTTAATAAATGGAAGTTCTTCAGAGTTGAATGCCCCTTTATTCTCTATACTTGTATGCTCTTCTGGGAAGCTTTGAGCTTTAAGAAAGAATTCAGGGAATCTGCTGCTGCCCTGTCTAGGAATGGTTACCACAGCACTGGGATGCTTCCCCCAGAGTTGCTATGCCTAATCTGTGTGCAAACAAAAGACGTCTCTTTGTTGGAGATACAGAGCCTGTTCTTTTTATTATTGCTTCAAGACACACTTGTTTTCTTCTCTCCCATACCTTCTGCTTACCATTTAGAGGACTAGAGATAAAGATAACAAATGCTTATCTTCTGCTTACTATGTGTTGGGCATTGTTCTAAGAGCCTAACTGTACTATCCAGAACACAAGCAGGTTAAGTAACTTGCCCAGGGATAACACAGCCAATGAATGGTAGAATTAGGATTTGACCTCAACGAGGTTTTAATGGAGACTTGAGGGGTGACCTCATATTGTGTCCCTCTACTGGGGGGACAAGATATTTCTGCCTCCCCTTTAGACAAAGTAGACAAGTGAAAAGAGAAATGATGAACATGGAGTGAGACCATGTGGCCACAGCTTGATTACTTCCCAGCTGTGTATTTGTGATCACCTCACTTTAACATCCTTGAATCTCTGTTCCCAATTGTTTAAAGGGGGGAAATGAAGCTCTTCTTAACTCATAAGGCTGTTCTGGGGATAAAATGGAATCACATACATGAAAGTGCTTTGAAAACCATAAAGTGCTCTAGAAATGCTGAGTTAGGCAGAATAAAGCATTCTAAAACAACCACTCTAATGCAAATAACATCTTTTATTTCATTTGAAATACCTAATAAACTCAAAACAGAATATTTTTGCTGAATACTCAGATTAGTGCCTTAATTCTGCATTTCACTTAAAGTGCAGGGACCACAATTTCACATACAATTCTGTTTGTTTAGGCTGATAATTTTAGGATTCTTTAAACATCAATTGATCCTCTTAAAAACAAAAGCTTATGGGGAAATAAACTTATTTGTTATCCCAATAAGCTTTTAATGACAAACTAGATTTTGGATTGTTCTTTTTTCTCAGCCAGGAATTTAAGTTGGCTTAGGTAACTGGACAAAGACTTACTCTGCTTTTTGTTTTTGGCTTTTAGACTGCTGGAGAATCTTGATGCCCATCTTAAACAGCTGGTCTCCTTCATCTGTGAAATTTTTCTTTGCTTGCTTTCTTACTATATATGGACAAACAAGGAAAAATAACATTATTTTTATGTTTTATATTTTTTAAATAATGTGCTGCCTTATTAGTTTGGGTTTTGCTCATGAAGGGGTTCAGATGAGCCTCCCCAAAATGTGCCACTTTGGCATGTGGATTATTTTGAGCTGAAGCTAATTAAGGCCAAAAAAGACTCAGGAAGAGCTTTTTACTGCCCCCTTAATTGCCTTTAAGAGTTTAGATAGAGAGCCTGGTCCAGGAAGAGAGTTATCACCAGAGATAACTATGAAGAGTATGGGCTAGGTATGGTAAGGTGAGGGGAGGTTGGCAGGGCATGTTTATTCAACTTCCTCTCTGCCCTATTGTCTCTGCATGGTATGACAATCATTTGTTTACCAAACATTTGCTCTTCCCATCTTCCTGTGAATTGTCTTCCTTCTCTTTGAAGCCCCAGACCCTTACCTCCTTCTTAGCTCAGGATGGCTTATAAGCCTCAATTGCCCATGCATATGAAATTAAATTTGTTTTCCTCCTATTGATATGTCTTATGTCAATTTAATTAATAAACCAGCCAAAAGAACCTAGAAGGATAGAAGGAAAATGCTTCCTCCTTTACACTCTCCTTATTTTTTAACTTCTGCCTTTCAAGAAGATCACCTTGCTTTTAGTCAGAAGGTGGAAGCTACCTGCAAGAACTATCCTCTTCCTGTCTTCTGTGAAAGTGTCTGTGGAGGGTGGAGGAGATAGAAAGATGCTTCTGATGGTAGGAGGGAGAGAGATGCTCCCAGTCTGGGAAAGAGATGCAAGTTTCTGCAAATACAAAGCAGGAAGCAAGGCCTCCAGGGAAAGGGGCTGTTTGGTGTACCCTAAAGAAAGGATCTTAGACACCAAGATCTCATCTCTCAGACTCCCTTGTCTGATCATGGCCCATACACCTTAGAACTATAAGATTCCAAGAGAACATGAGGATGTGAGCAATGGGCATCTAGAAAAATAGTGTGCATCTAGGACTGGAGGAGAGAATCTCCCTGAATATTTTGCTCTGCCTAAGTCTCCTTCCTCCTCCCTGACAGCCTTTCTAAGACCTTGGGAAAACACACAGAGAGAGTACCAATAACAACTTGCCTTTTGGGATGGGGACTCAGAATTAATTTGATAGGATTTAAAGAATGTAAAGAAATAGAATTTTGCCTGCTACAATAATGATATTTCTCAAACATTTATATAACACATCACAATTTTCAAACCACTGTCATCAGTTTACAGATGTGGAAAGCTATTTGGAGGGACAGTCAGCTTTACAGCCCCCACTCTATCCCCAGGGTGCACGTGCATGCCCCCACCCCAATACTCTTCCACATCACAGCACAATGCCTCTTGAAGTCCATTATGACACTCAGTGAAACCTCTGATTAGGTGAGCCATGCCTGAAACCATTTTAAAAGAGGCATTTTGAGATTTGATGCCTCATTAACAAGACCACAAAAATCTTTAAGTGGTTCCTGTTTTTCTTCTTCCTGACAAACCATCAGAGTTGTTCAATTTCTTTTTTAAATTAAAAAAATGTTTTTAACTTAAAAGTTAATTTGCAATTATTTTGAATGCTTCAAGTTATCCAATCAATTCAGTAACACCAGACACTTTTAGCATCTAATTTCTGCTTTGAGTTATATGCTATCTATAGTCATGATTAAAGAGGAAAAATAATGGGATTAACCTACTAATCTGTGTTTGGAATAGCAATTGCTCCTATTACCATGCTTTCAAAGAGCAAGAATACATTTTGAAAGGTTGCCTGTGCATGCATATACATATGAGAAATGATTTGCCACTACAGATTTCTACCCATGGCTTTTATTTGTAATTTGTAATTCTTTTTTTGGCTTCCCAAATGTATTGAAATACAAGTTTTCTTTACTATCAGAGGGCTCAACGATCAGATAAAGTTACCTTGACAACACTTTAATTTCCTTTTTACGTTTAACAATTTCCAAATTGGGGGAAAGCACAGTCAGGAAATGACTTGAGGAGACTATTCTGAGCCTGATGTAAAGGACCTTCCTGAATCTGGAATCCTCTGAACAGCCAACTAGTGGATGCCTGTTGTTCTGTCCTGATAAGGGCTCAAAGCTGACTTGAGAAGTGGTGGGAATGAGCCTCAGGAGTAAAAGAGGGCAGAGTAGGTACACCAGAGCACTATTTCATACAGCAGCAGATATAGGAAGTGCTTCAACTAGATGAATTTGTATTTCAGTATTTGTCAGAGACATAATTTATAGAGAGTTCTTGACATATTATTACTTCTGCAGTCTTAATTATTATTTCATGACTATCTTGGATGCTGTTTCAGGCTGAATTGTGTCCCCCCTAAATTCATATGCTGAAGTCCTATCCCCCAGTATCTCAGAATGTAACTTTATTTGGAGAGAAGGTCTTTAGAGAGGTGATTAAGTTAAAATGAAGCCATTAGGGTGGGGTCTTAATCCAACATTAGTGTCCTTATAAGAAGGCAGAGAGATATCAGGGGCATGCAGGCACTAAGAAAAGGCTATGTAAGGACACACTGAGAAGGTGGCCATCCATAAGCCAAGGACAGAAGCCTCAGAATGAAACCAAATTTGCTGACACTTTGATCATGGACCTCCAGCCTCCATAACTGTGAGAAAATAAATTTTTACTGATTAAGCCACCTTGCCTGTGGTATTTTATTATAATATCCTTAGCAAAGTAATACAGATGGCAACTCTGGATCTCATGGAAAACAAGCTGCTCCTTCTCCCTGCGGGAAGGGATGCACCCAACTCAGCTTCCCATGAGATCAGTGGCTACCTTTTTAAAAACAGGAAGGACTGGAGCCCCTGGGTGGCTCAGTTGGTTAAGCGGCTGCCTTCGGCTCAGGTCATGATCCCAAGATCCTGGGATCGAGCCCCACATCGGGCTCCTTGCTCAGCAGGGAGCCTGCTTCTCCTCTGCCTGCCACTCCCCCTGCTTGTGCTTGCTCTCTTCTTTGTGTGTCAAATAAATAAAATCTTAAAAACAAAACAAAACAGGAAGGACTATAATTTCTCACGGTCCCCCAATGTCTCCAGGTGCTGGATATCTGACTTACCTAGGCTGGGTACCCAAGTAGCCCACCTCTGACAAGGTCACTTTCTCATGATTATACTCTAGGTAGGCAGTTTAGTAGGTAGACCTTCCATGTGTCCAGCAATCCCGGGACCCAGCTCACCTCTCTGTGAGATGATGGGAGAACTGGGATTCTGTGCCTTCTCTCCTGACCCTCCTACTATAAATTTCTCTATCAAGTCTATTCCTTAATCCCTGTCACTTGTTGTGGAATTCATGAAGAATCCTCTTGTTGATAATGAATAGAAGCAAAGCTTTGGAACAAAAAGGGCCCACTTCTTGCTGCAGATATTAATGAAAAAGAAAAGAGCTGGAAACAACTTATTCTCTGTCATTCCTATATTTACTTGTCCATTTAATTGGTATGAATTGAATACTTACCATGTGTTAGACACAAGGCTAGATGTTGTGTTTCCAAAGATGATGGAGACGCTGTCTCAGCCTGGCAGTGGAGACAGACATGTTTACCAAAAATTACAATGCCATGTGGTAGGTACTCTGTAATAAGGCACTGTGGGAGTACAGGAGTCTTCTTGTAAGCAATAGAAATGTAATCTGATTGACTTAAGCAAAGGGAACTTACTGGGAGGCTGTTGAAAGCTCATTAAATCAATGGGGTCGGTCAGGAATCAAAGCTCTCTGGAAACTGGGAGGCTGTTGAAAGCTCAAAAAATCAATGGGGTCAGTCAGGAATCAAAGCTCTCCGGAAGCTGAGACAGATGCTGCTACAGGGATGGATTGAAATCCAATCCTTTTAGGATCTTCCCCTCTTTGCTCCAGACTCCATGATGATTCTGATGGGTCTAATTAGGGAAGACAAGGCTTCTCATTACATTCCCATAAGAATGTATTCACTGGGGAACACTTAATTCCTCAAAAGGAAATTGGGATGGTGAGAAAAGTAAAATGGATGATGGGAAGCCGCCAAACAGCAAATGCCCACTTAAGCACCCTACTCTCGCTAAGGGAAATAAAGAAATCTTCACAGATGAATGGACACTTTAGAGAGTTCTTGAAAGGTAGATAGGAGTTTGTCAGGCCAAGAAGACGAAACTGGCATTCCATTTGGAGGAAACAATCTACACAAATGAACCATGGGTATGAAACAATAAGAGGGGCTGGTGTGTCCTAAATAAAGAGTGAGGGCTTGAGGGTCATGTTTGGCCATGTGGTCCAGGCTGGCTGTGTGAGTAAGTGATACTGAGGAGAGTGGACAGAGGGGTGAAAAGGGAGTGGGGGAAGGGAACTGAGGTCATTGTGAAGGTGAAGGCAAGTTTGATAGGAGAAAGAGAAGGAGAAGTGGTAGGAAGGTGGCTTTGATCAGACAATTATTTTTGAGTTTGAAATTATATTGATGAAATAGCTCTGCGTGTGCCTGGTAAATGACTGATGAGAAATAGACACAAAGATTATTGGAATTGAGGAGGTCTAGCAATTAAGACAAAGTCTTCCATATGGATATTTAGCCTCTGCAGGGTACTGGTGGCCTCTAGCCATTAACTGATTGATGTGAGGGTAACAGCCTAACCCCTTGCCTATGGGAAGGGAGAAATCCTCTAGTGCAATTCACTCTTTTTAAAAAAATATTTTATTTATTTATTTCAGAGAGAGAGAGAGCATGAGCGAGAGAGAGCAGGAGCAGGGGAGAGGGGCAGAGGGAGAGGGAGAAGCAGACTCCCTGCTGGACAGGGAGCCCGATATGTGGGGCTCAATATCAGGACCCTGAGATCATGATCTGAGTTGAAGGCAGACACTTAACCCACTGAGCCACCCAGGTGCCCGTAATTCACTCTTAAAGCCCTAAACTTCTCCTGAGACCCTATCTTTGCCCAACTCCTTCCTTTGCCCTTCCTGCATTCCTCACTCTCTTCTATGTTTCACCAC